GAGCAGGGTGGCTGCCTGTGCCAAAGAGCTAAAATGGGTACCGCTAGCACCTGACAGGAGGAGTCGCAACTTGGGTTCTCAAACTAGTGAAGGAAAATGAATGAGAAAATGTCCTATGAGACTCTGGAGCATCACAGAGGGAAGAAAAAAAAAAAAAAAAGAAACAAAAAGAGTTTGAAAACCGCTGGATTATAATTTTATGGTAGTATTATTTGATGGTCTAACTTAACAAGTCTTTCCAACTTTGGTTCCAAAGATTGTATGGATACTTCCCTATCTCACCCAGGTGTTTGAAGTTTAATTAATTAATGTTTGTAAAGAGCGTTACAATTTCCAGATGAAAGGTCCTATGCAAGTGCAATGTAGTATTACTCATTGAGGTGATTAGGTTAGAGAGTATCACATTACACAATACAGCTCTCCCCTCAATGATTTTAAGCGTTTGAAGTTTTGATAAAATGTGTTTATCACTAAGATAGATATAATGGAAATACTCTTAAGGTGTGACCTGGATTATGAAACCAGAGGTATGGTTTTGGGAATGGAACAAACGAGAATTAAAACAACTCCTCAGGCCAGATTTGTCTACAATTGTATAAAATGTTTTCTGTTCATCCTTTTTTTCTCTTCCAGTAGGCTTTTCTTCTCTTCTAAAATAGAACCGGTTATTACAATGGGTGTGAGCAGACATGCAACAGTTCACGTTCAGTTCCTATTTCCATACTCATCCAACTCGACATTTTCTCATAACTTTCTCAAAATTATTTTCTGCTCTTTTTTTTTTTAGATGTTTGGATTAACCCTGAAGGTGAACATTTTCTTTTTGGAAAGTTCTGCTTTAACCAGCAAATAAACTGAATTAAATCAAAAGCTTGTGGACAATGCCAAACTGGAGATTGCAGTCAATACGCTTAAGACAGGGTTGGCATCCAAAGCTATTTAGATCTAGACAGGCTAAAGGAATAGGTCAGCAGGCACTTCATGACATGCAACAATGACAGACGCAAAGTCCTGAATCTGGAATGAACTGACCCCCTGCATCATTACCAGCTGGGGAGTAACTGCCTGGGCATCAGCTGTGCTGAAGAGGAGGTGGGGTCCTGGTGTTCGGTATGCTAAACAGGAGTCAAGCAGTGTGCCATGGGTATCAGCAGGAGTGCAGATCAAGGGAATTGCTTTATTCCATGCTCATCAGATCAGATCTGGAATATGGTGACCAGTTTTGAGCCCTCAGTACAAGGAAGATGAGGGTAAATTGGAGCAAGCTTGAAATAGGGTCACCAGGGTGGTCAGTGGACTGGAGCACTTGACCTATGAGGAGAGGCTGATGGAGCAGGGCTTGTTCACCCTGGAGAACAGATGGCTTCAGGGGACTTAACAGCAATCTTCCCATACCTACAAGGAAGTTACTGAGAAGACAGAAGCAGGCTCTTTAGTGAGATACACAGTGGGAAAACAAAAAACAATTGCCATAAACTGAAGGGAGGCTTCAACTGGATATAAAGGAAAAACAATTTCATGGCAGATAATTAAGCATTGGGGCAGGCTGCCCAGAGAGAGTGTGGAATCTTCATCTTTCAAGGTTTTTAAGACCCAATTGGAAAAAGCCCTGAGCAACCTGATCTGAAATGAGTGCTGACCCTGCTTTGAGCCAGAGGTTAGACTAGAGACCTCCCGAGGTTCCTTTCAATCCAATTCAATGGGAAGGGAGCAAAACACTAGTTTATGTTCAGGTTATGTATACTTGTTGAGGAATGGGCTTGGACTTTTGTGATTAAGAGAGTTGAACAAGTTTGCTCAAAATTTGTTTGAAAAATAACTTTAGTCATTATTTGTCAAAAGACAATTGTTAATATTCCAACTGCCAGGTTCCATCTTTGTTCTTCTTCCCTCATTTTCTAACAAACTTACCATGACAGCAAACAACAGAGATTTGGGATGGCTTATAAAGGAAGGCGTTATTGCACCTACAGGTCTTGGTTAAAGGAAAAACAAAACCAGGGTTTTTAAGAATACTGGGTAATGGAGGAACAGTGCACTTCAGTTGGTACATTTTTACTCTTAAAAAAGAATCTGCACGTGCTGGTTTTGGCTGGGATAGAGTTAATTTTCTTCAGAGTAGCTAATATGGTTCTGTGGTTTGGATTTGTGCTGGAAACAGTGCTGATAACACAGGGAAGTTTTCGTTACTGCTGAGCAGTGCTGACACAGAGTCAAGGCCTTTTCTGCTTCTCACCCCACCCCACCAGCGAGGAGGGTGGGAAAAGACGAGAGGTGGGGAGGGGAGGGATATCCCACACCATATGATGTCATGCTCAGCATATAAAGCTGGGGGAAGAAGAAGGAGGGGGGGGGACGTTCGGAGTGATGGCGTTTGGCTTCCCAAGTAACTGTTACGTGTGATGGAGCCCTGCTTTCCTGGAGATGGCTGAACACCTGCCTGCCCATGGGAAGTAGTGAATGAATTCCTTGCTTTGCTTTGCTTGTGCGCATGGCTTTTGCTTTACCTATTAAATTGTCTTTATCTCAATCCATGAGTTTTCTCACTTTTACCCTTCTGATTCTCTCCCCCATCCCACCAGGGAGGGAGTGAACAAGCGGCTGTGTGGTGCTTAGTTGCTGGCTGGGGTTAAACCACAACACTGCATCAAGTTAAATTTGTGAATTACTAAAACACATTCTCGACTAATTGAATTTTAAAATACACTGAAAGCTTTCTTTAGCTGAGTCTTCTCAGTTTTTGTGATATCTAAGTAAAGGATTAATTTTCCATAAATGCTGTTTTAATTGTTAATGGCACTCATTAATAGTTAGTCTTCTAGAGGGATATTCTTTTTCCTTGCATTTTTAACACACATTTTTCTTGTTCTTCCAAAACTTTGCTATATTCCCACAAGGAGTTACATGCCTGAGTAAACCAAGTAATTAAAAGTGTAACAAAAGCACACCTGCCATAACTCTGATCATTCTAAATATGTGATCGTATTTCTGATTTGTCCAGAAACAGAATCAATAACTGACTAAAGATGTCAAGAAAACAGGTTTGTTAAGGAGTCACATGTCAGTTTCCTCCTTTTTTTCTCTTATGCTTCTCACCCTCCTCTCTCCCCCCAAAATTACAGAAATCTGTAAGAAGATCAAAATGGAGCAATGTAAAAAGGTGAAAAATATTTAAGAGTTACTAATGACAGAGGACTCAAAGGCACATCTTCTTGCAAATCTGTTCCTTAATACTCTAAAGAGGTCAAAGGCATTAAAAAAAGACTGTATTAGAAAATGTATGAACATAAATGGACTTTCAGGAAACTAGAAATCTTAACAGTGGCTAAACTGAAACAACATAAGGTTAAGAATAATGTACAGACTCTAAAAGTGCCGTAGAGTAGCTATATAGTTGGTAATAATACTGAGCAGTTTGGGGAGAAGGGCGATTTCTATGCTTTGTTCCAATGATTTTTGGCAAAAAAAGTAAATAAAACATCTAGTTTTCATTACAACTGCATGATATTAAAGGTAAAACTAAAAAAACACCTTCATGGAAAGAGCATTCTGTGTATAACGTGTTAATGATAGTTAATGAACCAAAAGCCACAGAAATCCCTTTGGACAGCTAACAAACACACACAGCTATTAATTAGGTCACGGTTGTTTCCTCACAAACCTTTTGTTCACTTTAGTTGTGGAAAACACCAACATATCCATTAGACCTGTGGGGAGGTATTCACCAGTGAAGAAAATATTTATTTATTATACATTAAATGCTTGCAATTATATGACTACTTATGGCAGTTCTGCTGGTTTCTCTCTTTGTAAGTAAACTATAATCACTCAGTTCACAATCTATTCTACTCCTCAGAACACCACTCACCTCAGTAGATCCAATTGTTTAATTTTGTGTACTTCAGGCAACCATTGTAACTCAATCACAGATTTTAAAATGTTTTGAGCATCCAGTTAAAACAACATGGAAAGAATCAACATGCTTCATTTTCACAAAGCAGAAGTTGACAAAAGTATTCTTTTTAAGGTTACCACTGAGAGGTGAAGGGTAATTTCTGCTTGAAGCCCAGTTAAATTTGAGTTCCACTCACGAACACGGTTTGCCCACTACGTCAGTTACTTCATTAACTGGCTGTGAAGAAAATGTTTGCAAAGGGCTCCTGTTCCTACTGCAGAAAATTGCAAAACTGCAGGCTGCACATCATTTCAAGGACACAAACCAGCCCCATTTCCTGATAGCCTAGGGAAGACCATTGCCTTTATGAAAATAATCAGCAAGTATTTCCTAATTTCTATGTGTGTGGAATGCCCCATGGGGCAGACAAGATGGCAGAGAGGGTATTTCACAGTGGCAGAGTATATCACTGCTCTTTTGGGAACAAAGATGGCAGAGGCTGCTGGATTGGTAGTGCTTCATCTTTTCTGCTTGAACCTTGCTTTAGAAAGCTGGCCATGCTCATTACCTCACCCGTCTAGTTCCACTTCTCCCATCACCACCCTTGCCCCAGGGCAGCTGCTGCCTCCTTACCTCCATGTCTCCTGCCCCAGAACCTCTACCACTTCCTCCTCACACATCCCACACCACTAACTATTGTCACTGCCTCCCTCAGCCCACCGAGACTGAATTAATAAACCTGACTGAATCCAGCTGACTCTGTCCAGAGCCTCTTGGGTGTGTCTTCACAGGCTCCTAGTGCTGGCAGAGTTTATTTGCTCAGGTCTGCTGCTGCGCCTTACCTGCAATGGGTTGATGCCTCACAGGTTGGAAACCACAGGGCCAGACAGTGTAAGAAGTCTTTTTAGGTCATTACTTCTACAGTTTTATGAATTGCCAATCCCAGTAACTAGGGTAACTAGGTTAACTAGGATAAGTCTAAAGTACGACTTAAACCTCTGCCCACTTTTGGATCAAAATTAAGAAGAAAGAGTAAATAACTTTATTCTTCTTCAGGAAAAAAAAAAAAAAAGAAAGAATAATTTTAAGCCATTAGCTGTCTTACCATAATCCTGTCACTGTCAATAACGGTGTTCAAGCGGTGTGCAATGGTCAGCACTGTGCAGTGAGCAAACTTTTCACGGATCGTCTTTTGAATGAACTCATCTGTTCTGAAACACAGCAAGAGCAAAGCAGACAAAAATAAGATGTTTGCATGGATAACTGAATGGCAGGCAGGTTTTATGACTTCATCAAACATGACTGTATAGCAGGAAATGTTCTTATGAAGTCATTACAGTGCTTCTTCCTCTCGTTGTATTAGATGACTTGGAGGCATATCATGAAACATACTCCAAAATCTATCCTCTAATACTTGAGGAGGAAAGAGTTTCTTCTTTCAAGTAGAGCATTAAGTTTCATTTCAGGAGACTAACTTCCCAGGCTTTGATTACAGAAAGAGGAAAATTCTGTAGAGTCAGATATTCCTACAGATTTCTACACCAAAAAAAATCATTGTTATTTTCTTTCAAGCTTTAGTTTGTGCAAGCAGCGAAGATAAGTTCGTGAAAGTAAATATCCTTCATTGCAAATCAGCTAAAGAACGAACAGAAGACAGCCTATAACTAAGGTTCTTGATTTCAACTGCAAAATGGGATTAAACAAAATAAGTGGTTGGTAAACTAAACTAGGAGTAGCTCAAGAACGTGAATACAGAAAAAAGAAAACTTGGCATATTCCATAAACCAAAAGTGTTAACTGGAACGCACAACCCAAGGAAAGGGATAGAAAGCTTTCAAGTTAAGAGCCCCAACCTGCTATGTGATTTAACCACCTAAGAAAAGGATATCAGAAGGAAACATAAGACTTGTAAAGAATGAAAACTAATCTCGAGCACAGACACTGAAGTATAGGGTTAAAGTGCTAACTGTCACAAATAGAGCTGAGAACCATGAAAAGGAAATAAAATTATACCGAAAGATACATAAGACACTAAAATGTTCTTTAGCTGTATAAACAAGCATCAAGACAAAAGAGGTGCAACACTCATAAAACTGGAGATTATTCAAGTAACTAACTGTACAAGAGAAGCATTGACATTACTTAACTTAGAGCACACCAGTTAGGCTTAAATGTGGAAATCTATACGGTCCTCTTTAGTCAATGAAAGGGGAAATGCATGGCTGGAAGGTGAATCGGAGCACCTGAATCAAGCAGCCATCAGGTGATGAATGCCCTCTAGAGGCACCTGACAGCCCACATTCCACAGGAAGCCTTGGCTCCCAACCTGGGCACAAAGCCAGGCCATGTGAATACTCACATATTGCCCATCAGCCTTCAAAAAACCAAGGAGTGGTGACAATGGGAAAAAAGGTACAGAAACTAAAATTCTCATCCAAGATAGAAGGAAGACACAAACAACTCAAAATATACTGGGGTTAGTTGGACCAAGGAAGCTCCAGCCTAGAAATCAGGCACTTGAAGGCATGGGTCTCATTTCCAGGATTTCTATTAAAACATGAAATTGTACTTTATATATAACAACTGGAGAATAATAAATGCTGTAGATAGGGTTAAAACAAGACAAAGAAGATATCTGGATAAACTGGTGTATTTAGGCAGCCGTGTTGGCTTCAACCAGTTGCTTGCAAAGCCTTAATTCTTCAAATTGTTAAAAGTAACTGGAAAATCAAATAAAATACAATAAAGATTCATGCAACACGTGTTCCCCTAACAAATTATTATTTTTTAGACAGAAGTAGTACTCTACATTGAATCTGTCTGCACATGATAAATATTTGGTATCACTTCATAAATTAAGCAAAAAGAATTGTTCTGATGCCACCATGTCAGGAGGCACTAACAATAAAAAGTGGACAAAGACATCTTTGGAAGAACAGGATGACTTAGAGGAATGGAGTAACCATTAAGTTTCCACATTAGAAAGCACAAGCTCATGTTCTGAAGGACTGACTATAACTTCTGTTACAAACTAGGTTTAAGCAATCAGCATGACAAAGGAACAGACAGGTCCCTGCTGATGACAGGACGAATCATCAGAGAGAAGGAAGACATAAACAGTTAAGTAAGAGTTCCCATGCATGCTGACTGTCATCTTCATCTGGGGACAGAAACATTTAAGCTCTGTCATGAGCTTAAGAGGATTGGGTTCTAGGCCGCAGTCTGAGAAGGCTTTGTCCTTCTGCTCCTACTTCCTAAAAGGAGCTAAAGAACATGGTGGGAAGCAGGTGTTCCTCAACTCCTTCTTTTGAACCAAGGCCAGTACGCAATCAGGGAAGAGACAGGAGAAGAAATCAGGACAGAGCCAGGCTCTTTAGCCCTGTGTGTTAACAGTCTCCTTAAGAAAAGAAAGTTGTTCATCATTAATGCCCCACATCACAGCAATACCAGCACTTTCACCCCAGTGTTAAAGCATGTATCTTTTGTTGCTATCTTCTCAGCAATGCTTCAATGACCTGACTACTCTGACTTTCAAAAGAAAAAAAAAAATCAGCGCCATACATGAAAACACTCAGTAGGGAAGAGGCTTATATAGACAGCAGGATATGTTCTCTGCAATGGTTAGAGATAGTGAAACAGAAACAAAAGGTTCTGTACTCCCTGGAATAATGTAAAGAAAGCCTTTTTCTTTCCTTATAGTCAAGCTCAAGGTGAGGTTTCCTGCAGAGCTACTAAGCAGCACAAAGAATCATAGCTTGCTCAGGAATTTTGAAAACAACTTCTTAAAGGGCTCAAAACTATTTGTAACTCTCAGGTTATTTCTACTGTTATCAGAGAAGAATGCTTCCCTGTCGTCTGCATTCATTTATTGTATCTTCCTTTATTATGTGCATTCCTTATAGCACCACCTCTTCCTGCATTTACAATAGAAACCATTTCTCATTCTGTGATAGATACTATCAAACTATTATCTTAAACAGGTATTTCTTGAATATAAGCTTATCCCTAATGAGAAACTGCTGGCCATATTGTGGGTGTGACAAACGTTCTAAAATGAGACTACAAAGTAATCAGAAACAGGCCTAATAGCTCCATCTTCAAATATCACAGTATGAAATCTCATGCAGCCATGTCCGCTGACAGGGACTCCACCAGGTTCTCTCTAAGGTTCATGGCAGATCTCGGAGTATAGTTTTTGGGGTGGCAGGCAGAAGCACCATCAGTAATCTCCAGAAGAATCTTGGGAAGAAGGTAGGAAAGGCAAGAAAATATAAAAGACTAAGAAAAGATCTGTGTACAGAATTACGTGCTGACAGAGTACGGAGGCTAGACCACATGCCAATTAGTGTCTACCATCTAGAGAAGTGCCAAAGGAAGCAGCGTTTCTGTCCTGTTTTTCAGGTCATAAATGGACCCTTTGTGGCACCTACCCACACCGAGAAAGTCACCAGGCAAGTGCCAACTGATTCCATCACCTACCTCAGTGGATCAAACCCCATCATCTTTCAGGCGCATTAGAAACCAAAGATGCAACCTGAATACCAAACCAAGGCTGCTGGATGACAAAAGCTCAACCCTAATCTGATTGTATGAAAAGGGGAACCACGATACTCCCCATCACAAGAACAGTGCAATAAGAAAGCACAAAATGGTGGTATAGCTGTCCCACTGGCACCGCGCGTCGAGGATCTAACACCAAGTTTCACAGCAACCCAAGATCTGGCGTAACCTGAATTAGCTGACTGTGTTTAAAAAAAAAAAAAATCAAACAAAAAACCAACAACTATCTAAAGAGCAAGAATAACTACGACCTGAATAAGAAGCAACAAAGCTGCTGAAAGGAACACTGGTAAGTCATTATCTTCAGTCTAATGTCCTCCTGGGACTGTCCTGAAAGTGTATCTCACACTACACAATTCCTGAGTGGCCCTGGATAATGTCTCCAAGAGAAACAGTGACAGCAGTTAGACGTAACAAAAGGTTACACCTTACAAGGTTAAGCTGGCTAATGAACTGAACTATGAGCAATGGCTGTTTTTACCAGACTCAATGAACAACCAGTGTAAAAACGTGGCAGTGGATTGGTCCCAAAAAATTTTCTCCTCTATAACAGTAAAAATACGAGTTAACGCATAATACTGTAGTCAGTGCGCAGAGAGCTTAGTAAGTTCAACTTACTCAACATTTAAAAAAAGTCTCAGTTACTAAGGATTTTGTTTCAATATATCACCAAAGCGACTACAGAAAGATTTTCAGCTCTTCTGCTCCGGATTTCATAAAACTTTCCAGAACGGTTCAACTGCTATAAAATGATTCCATTCTTCAGGGTAAGAATGCCAGCTTCAGGACCAAGAAGATAAGATCAAATTAAACATCTGTCAGTCATCGCGTAAAACACGCAAGTAGTCTGACTTAGGGCAACCTTCTTTAGGGCAAGCTCCTCCTCTGCCTCACGACAGCGCTGACACCCCTGCAGCATGCAGAGCAGCTGGTAGCCATGAAGAGCAAGGGAAATAATAATAAAGGTACATATGGGAGCTGGAAGATGTAGGAAGGAGGGAGAAAGGTGCACTCGAAACCCCTTCCCTTCGCTCCTTTGCTCAGCTTTGCTCAGCAGCAGACAAGAATGGCCTAGCTGAGCTGGAGACACACGGCGGGGAGTCCCTCAGCCCCGGGGAAGGTACACTGCACGCCTCTCACCCCGCTGCTGTATCCAGCGCCTCACACCACCTCACCCTTCCTTCTCCTCCTCCCAGCCCCAAACCCTGCCTCCTCACATCTGCTTCCAGGTTGAACAGGAAAAGGGACACGGTTGCAGCAGTGGTTGAGGCAAGGAGATCAAGAGCCAGAAAAACAAAAAAAGAAATAGTATCTCCAGAGCCGGCGGCAGCTCCCCACGGTTTCCTATCCCAGGTGCCTGCTACGATGTGTGCTTGCCGCCAGGCTAGAGGCAAGGATGCCAGGTATGGGGGTTGTGCATCAGAAGAGGAGGAGGTTTTCCTTACATGCCAAAAATGCCTGCCTAACTGCTCAGTTAAGCAACCCACATCAGCATTTCCTGATGAGCGTCCTATCAGATTGCAGGGCTGAAAAATACTCTGCTGGAGTTACAGCAGCACATGAAGAAAAAGGTAATAATGACTGTAATGCAAACTGAATTCAAAGAAGAAGTTCTAAGTTATTATTTGTATTGTTATGCCTAGAGTTGATACAAACAAACATCTACCTTATTATAATATATATTGCAGCACACACTAAGGAAGATCAATTAAATGGATAGTGTAAGTTGAGAACACACACATGTGAGATGCCAAAATAGGGAGAATGAGTAAGACGGTATTAAATTTCCACAGCTATGATTAATCACAGTTAATCTATCAGAGCTCAGCCAAAAATAAACTAATAGTCAAAAAAAGGCAGAGGGGGGAAAAAAAAAAAAGGGAAAAAGAGAACCTCTGGGAAGGGAATGCACTTCTCTAAAGGTTTTACAAATACCCTGTCAGCTGAACTGCAAAGCTACCCTAGTGGCACCACTTCTCCCCCAAGAAGATGTTATAAAAATGAGTCACGCCCAGATGACATACAAAATCCTTAACGCATCTGTTTGAGGGACTTGCTGTGTTATTGTCCTCTTTGGACTTTGAGTTCTCCCTCAAGCCATAGTTTGTTGGAACTATATATTCAGCTCAGACTAATTGATGCAGTACGTTTGCAGTATTGTTTCCAAAATATTTCCACCAGCGTTTCAAATGTTTCAAAAATTAACAGTGGGGGCACTTAGCTATTGGAACAATTTAACAAGGGTTGTCATTGAATTTTTTTTCTATTGAGGTTGGATGTTCTAGAAGTACACTCTAGTTCAAACAGGAATGAATTCAGGAAAGTTCTGCCGGCCTGAGTTATACAAGACAAAATAACGAATGATAAATGAGTCCCTCCTGTAGCTTTAAACATCTCCAAATCTGTTTTGCAATTTCTGTGGTGTTAAGGACAGCTTACCTTGCCCCCACCCCCATTTTATCTGTAACTTATTACACCGGCATCTGAGCCATCTGAAGGGATAGCATCTCATAACTAGAAGTATCTGGTTTTGCTTATAGCCATTTTTCACCTTTCTAGTATTGGGAATGGGGGGAGGGGGAGGTGGGTAATTTATTAATTAATTAATATTTATTTATTTATTCCCAAGAGACATTTCTTCTAGAAACCAACAGAACTCAACCTGTTTCATGGCTATTCTGATGTTACTGATGCATTTCCAAGGAGGTTCTTCTCTTCTTGTCTATGGTTGCAGGACAAATGAACTTTGAATATTAATTTCCCTCCTCTATGGAATGCACTGAAATTAGGGATATTTTGAGCATTTAGTTTATATCAGCTGTTCTGTAGCCAAAGCTCAACTGCCCCATTTTGAATAGACAATTATAACGCTATCATTAAAAACATAAAATAGCAATAAAAACTACAAGAAATACAAAGCATTTAAGTTAATCTCTACAGTACAGATGATCGTATTAGAAGAAAAACCATGAGGTCATCTTAACATGACAGATTTTGTTTTTACCTTGGGTCCACATTTGCTGTTGCTTCATCGATGATAAGGATCCGATTTTTTTTTAGAACCGCTCTGGCAAGACACACCAGCTGTCTCTGACCAACACTAAAATTAGACCCAGATTCTGCCAGCTGCGTCTCCATTTTATTAGGTAGATCTTCCACAACCTCCTTCAGTTGCACCTGTTGACATGTCAACATATTGTAGGATGAGTAACTCTCTTTTACATCAGCTATTGTGTGTCTGATGACACAACAATAAGTATGCAAGGTTTACCTTTTATATTCTGACACAAAATGAGTAAGTGCCAAGTTGGATTACATAGTGTGTCAGTTATTAGAATTCTAAAAACATTAAAGCACATTGTTAAGAATCTATTAATGTTCATTAAAACTAAGATATGAATCAAAATGTAACCAAAGCGTCATCCCAAAGGATAATTTTTTCATAAAAGACTTATATAACAATATACATGTCTAAACACACAGGCACAAACGCACACATACACAAATGCACACACAACGGTCTACCTTTCTCCATCAACAGCTATGCCCTTATCAAACCTGATGAAAACATCTGAAGCCTAACGCGCGCAAGCACTGTAATGTTATTGGGCTTGTAAATATCAGATGTACATTATTAGATTTAATAAGTCACCTCTTCCAAGGCATTCCACAGCTCTTCATCGGTGTATTCATTGAAAGGATCTAAGTTTTTCCTCATAGTTCCAGTGAATAAAACAGGCTCCTAAAACCCAGTAAAATTAGCATTCCATTATAAACACAGGGTTTATATCGCAACAGGTAATTTAATAATAATCAGAACTAACCTATATCAACAATAGCACAGAAATATCCAACAAGCAGCTATCCTTTATGAAATGCAAAGGAGTATTTCACAACAGCATGCTCAAAGTGGGGGAGGCAAGTGTTCAAGCAGTCTGTATGAAGATAATTTACCAAAGGGGACAGGTCTGTTTGCAAATTGCTCTACACAGTTATGCTGGTACTCAAACGGGCATTTACATGCCACTGTTTTGATGCCACAAGCTATATATATACTTACATGAAATCATTGCTATCCTCCCGGTATTGTTAATAAAAACCAGCAACTATCACTGTCAATGAGCTCACATTCCTAAATTATGTTTGGGTAGTTATGAGAATTTGTTTTTGAAGTAGATAAACCAGAGAGGAATCAAAGAGCTCACAAGGCCTTTCTGGTTTTCCTTCTCTGTTTGGTTTTGGGTTTTTTCTTTCATTTCATACCATAAAAGCCCTTCAATTTTACTGCCAGAGTCTAAGAGGAACAGCTTTCATTATTTCAACACAATGTTTAAACCTATACACATAGAAGTTAATCTATACTGCCACAGCATCAAAGCAAACTTACTTAGAACCAGAGCACTGCTGGGCAAAGCTCTAACTCAAAATACACCAGGGAGTCAAATCAGTACCTTCTCCCATTCAGGCACCAATATGGGTTTACCTGTGGTCGAAGCAAGTTTTGTTCTACTTCAGTTCCCGGTCAGACCAATAACAGATCATTAATCAAACTGGCACAAATCAATTCACACTGGAAAATGTACTGTTTGAAAAGCGGGGAGGACCACTTTTGGTCCAGCGACAGATCAGTACTCACTAATGTGAGTTGCCAGACCTGAGAGTCATGCACTGACACGACTTCAGGGCTAAACTCTTCTTAATACCACACATAAAGACAAAAACAACAACAAGTCAAAAGCTGTAATAGTGCTAATCATAAATGGAGACCATTCATCATGTTGTCAGTCTTCTTTAAATTGGAGAAATCTTATGCAAAATGTTTTCTTTTTTTTCTCCCTTAGGAAATAAAGTCTAACTTACACTGGATAACTTCCACTTACTTCGAGATTAACCTCTGTTGTGACTTATGCCCCATCTAACCCTAGTGATGCCCAGCTCCAAAGGGCTGCAGCAAATCAGAATAGAATTTAGACCTTAACCCTTTTATTTTGTCTTCATTTCTAAACCACTCTGAGTGGTATAAAAGGATTAACAAAGACAGAACGTGCCACAAGCAACGTAAAAGAACATATACGTTTCTTGACATAACATGCCAATTATTTGAAAGTATCTGTTGCATTAGCAACATGTCACTAAAAACCTGTTGAATGAACAAAAGGATTTAAAAAAAAAAATGAACCGGTTAAAGAACATTTTTCTTCAAAAACACCTAGAAAGTAATTTGTTTAACAATATATATTTTAATACACCATTTGCTGTGTTTTGAAGGTATTGTTACATTTATTTTCCTTTTCAATCCATTTTTATAGGTTGGCAAAATAAGAGGCTGAATTTATAAAGTGTTCATAACTATTATAAAAGTCCTAACAACAGACATGTACTGCAACAGAAGATAAGGATATTTTTTAATTATCATTTCTGACACAGATTATTATTTAAAATAGTCTGGTTTATGAGAGGAAAGTAATAAGACAAACCTGTAAATAATTGTTGTAAAAATGCTTGCAGTCAGGGAGGCAGACAACATTTGCATAGAAAAGATTTACAAACACAACCTTCACACAGCTCCATCCAAGCAAGCAATTAGAAGCCTAAGCACATTTTTATTTCTCCAGGTAGGTATTTAAACTTACATATAAGAAAACTTCAGTCTTGCCTCATCGCTCTCTAGGAATGGTTCTGTTTAGCATGTTTTATGTTATAATTTAAATAAGCATCTCTCCCTCTGGTTTCTTAGCTTCCCACATAATTACGAAGATATTTGCTGCAAAATAACTACCTGATGTTACATTACTATTTCTATTATTGATGCTACTATTAATGCAGTACAAGACAATGCCTATCACTCAGTTTACTACAGTATAAACCTTAATTCCAAACCCTCCTCCTCTTCTCACTACCACCACTTCATAGTTTTGCATATTTTTAGTGGAAACAAGTCTTCCCTTATGCGGAAAAGAAATGCTACCTGCTAGCCCTTGGACATTTAAAACCCTTTGGGACCATGATGAAAACCGTATCATATAAACCTGATAAAAGTCACAGAATTCAACTGGATTAAAATAGTTTTACAACCATGTCAATAGACCAATGTATGAAAAAGAACACATGTATAATTAAATGCAGTGACCTTTGAGGATCTGCATCGCTCAACATGTAGAAACTGTATTTGACCAGCAGTTTTCCTGTCTCAGTACTCTATTTTATTCAACTGGGCTGAATTCTTCCAAATGTAGAAGTCACCCATAACAGTTACAGGCAAGGCTTTCAAAAAGCTGTAGACCTTGAATGAACTGATGATCACCTACTTTCAGGAGAAAAGAATGCTGCACACCAACAGAAAAATAGAACTTAAATCCACATAAAGTCCTCTTTACATACAAAAGATGACTAGTTCCAGTGAGTACCTCTGCTGTGCAATAACAAAGCCTTCAGCATGTAGAAACAAAAAATATCCTGCATTAGGCAACAATCCAATTGCTGGGGAAGTACCTCTTTTTTTTTTTTTTTTTTAATAATAGTATACCTGCTTCTTTTCTCTGACTGCTATTCTTGGGAAAGGGAAAAAAAAAAAGCAGGTAATCAAAAGAGGCTTAGAACCACTGTTCATTACCATTTTTATCAGATTCACAATTTAAAGAAAGTAATACACTCTGAATGCCATCCTGCCAACAGGCTAGCAAACATTCAGACACAAAGATGGTGTAAGGACTCTAAATACAGCTTCTATAATAAAATACAGAGATCTGAGAATTAACACTAAACATGGCAAACAAATTCCTCTGGTTTCCACAGCCTACTGTTCTATCTACTTGCTAGAACATCCCAGACAAATGATTTGCCAAAAACATGACTTTGCCTTTGCAGCACATGAGCTTTTCCCTCTTCCTCCCTCTCCAGTGGAGACTGAGTGATCATGTAAGAGATCAGAGCTCTTGTGAAACACGGTAACCTGCACAGGCTCTGCCTTCAGGAAGTTTTGAGGTTATACATAACCCTTCTCTGATTCAATGTCTCATTTGAAAGTAAGACCACAGAAGAGAAGACCTGTGACCTACTGGACTTCTTGAAACAACCTTTCTTCTGCTCCATCACCAGAAATGAGGCTATTCCCAACCCCATCTTAGTTTTTTTCCTGCATTGCAGCCCTTCCTACGTTCATCAGCTTCTAAAGCTCACCAAGTTTTTGTTTATGGATCATAATGACCCACTCTTCTGTGCGTTTCTCTGCTCTCCTCCTGTCCAGCCTTCTCTAAATAATGGAAAGGCTGGTAGCTCACTTCTAGTTGGCATGTTTGCTTTCTAGATCTAGCCTCAGTCAGTTCGTACAGGGGTGACTAGAGACATGAAAGTGGTCCCTCCAAGTCCCTTACTAAGGAAGCTTCAGGCCACACATCAGGCAGGAATTGCTGCCAAAGGATCAAGTGACTTCAGAGAACTGCTGAACGTTGGTATATTCCTGTCAGATTTTCTCTGCTCTCTCCCAGATATAGGAGGACAACATACTGCTAACACCTACTCACAAGTATTCCAGAGGAACAGACAGGAGACAAAATGAGGAAGAAAACACTCCAGTTCCCAAAGCTGATTCTGTTTATCTTCAAATAACCAAGACCTTACTCAAGTAAGAATAATGCCTCGCTAAAGTTTCTATGTCTACTGAAATACAGGGGTGCAGGGGGAACATATCCTGGTAAAGCATTTTAAATACTACGGCATTTTATTGAAAATGTTTACAGCAGACCAAGTCACTCTCTTACCTGAGGTATAATTGAAATTTTCTTCCGCAAGTCATGGAGTCCTAGCTCTGACGTCAAGTGCTTATCAATCCAAATCCTCCCTTCAGGTTCTGCCAAGCGAAAGAGGGCTGCTATCAGAGAGCTTTTCCCAGCTCCGGTTCTTCCCACTATTCCAACCTACAGAGCAAGCCAAGGTTGTACAATTAAACCATGAGCTTTTCAGGATAAATTAATATGTCAAGCAAAAATTTTACAGCATCACAGGATTTATAGCAGAACAAGCACCAAATAAAACTTCTTATAATTAACATTTTTTCGAGAGGAAAAAACCTCCCCCCAGATCAGTTTGGATTCAGGTGACATTTGGATACCCAACAATTTCTTGGATCATATTCAAAGGTGAAAGATTTTCCCTTAATGTGTGGTGTTTTATTGTGTAAACAAGATAAAGTGGCTCGGTGTATAGAGTAATGTGATTCAAAGGCTGCTAATTTTTATATTAAACCTGGTTTGCTGGGTGATGTTAGGCAAATCATTTCAGGCATGCACCTACTTCTCAATCCAAAAAAGGACTCCCATAAAGCACTTTGGGAATAATGTATGAGCAGTATTCCCATTTTAAATAACTGAGACTGATTTTGGTTAGCACAGTTAAGGTGAAGTACTTCAAAGTAGTCAAAGTAGCCAAAATAAAGCCAAAACTAGCAGGAGGATCATAAACCGTATTCATGCTCCAGACAGCTTCAACAGAGAGGACACAAGTATAGAAACTACAAGGCCATGTGAGCAAGCTGCAATTCCTTTCCAAACAGAAACAGTGAATAATAAAAATCACAGTGATTCAGGCTTCTATATGTTCCCAAAGAAAAATCAGAAGCTGTATGCAATGTGAAAAAATAATGCTTTCAGAAAAAAGAGGTAGAGAAAACACAAAATATGGGATTGCTACCTTCAGTGACAAGGGGTTAAGACCTACAAATATTTCATATGAAACCAACATTTGGGAGAAAGTAGGCCCATTAATAAATGAGGAGACATATAATTAATGGTGATTAAATACTACTTGAACAGCGAACTCTTTTTTTTTTTTTTTCTTAATATGTTGTCTTCAGGTAAAGGATTCTTAGAGAAAACAATGTGCAGTAATCAATTGTATCAGAGAAGGTGATGGGAGTAACCCTCTGCACAGATCTGATCTGGCAGGATTTGTTATTCCCTGCACTCAGTTCTAATCGCTACATTTCCAGAAAGAAATCAACACACTGGAAAGAGTTCAGAGAAGTGCAACATAAAATTAATATAGGTTGGAGATACTGATTTGATGAGGAAGGATTTATGAGGATTAAACATGTACAATATAGCCTGGTGAAGTGACTGGGGTGCAAAAGGGAGGAAGAAACATGAAAACCTTCATGAGTATACGTACAGACACCAGAGGGCAATTACCCACTGCCTGAGACTCAGATGTGTGCAGTAATGACTGCTGGAATGAAATTAAGCATGTTACATCGAAGAGCAAGGAGAAACTTTCTAACAGTCAGAGACACTAAGCTCAGACAAAGCAGCAGTGCCCACATTTGATCAAAAATACACAAAATGCTAAAAAAGTATACTGCGAGGAGCAACTTAAACCTAAAAGGTATTTTCTACTTCTGTTTTCCGATTCAACAATTTCATCTAACAATTCATTATTGTACTATTGTATATAAACTAACTAACATTTATACAGTGCTTATTATTAAAGATACGGCCTAATTTAAGCAAAACTGTTACAATAAATGATAAAATGTCTAGTATTCTAAATTGTATCAGTGAAACAAAGGAAAAACAGTTCCGAACAGTTACACTACAGCTCAGAAAGAAAATGCTGAATGGAGAACACAGGCACCCAGAGTTGTGAAAACAAAAGTTCAATTGTTTCGCTGTAAATGTCAGTGATATAAAGTATTGTATTAAGGCTATAAAGAAAAAAACATAAAAAATACATTGATACTTAAAATAAAAATGCAGCTGCTCTGCATATTGTCAAAATCCCACTTTCAGTTTGGCATCAAATGAAAGGACTGTGCTCTTCAGCATTTAGAGGAATTTATTTGTATTTTTGGTCCAATTGACTACAGGCTGCTGAAAATTGACATGAATTTGAAACAGCTCTCAGTATACACACTTATTTATTTTTTTAATACATTGTATTCTTCATAGGCCCATGTTCACAGCCAGTGCAAATACAGCAACGGTCTGCAAATGGAAGTCCCAGCCACCTAACAGGAATCGCATGGCCAGGATTTTGTTGCCCGACGTAAGCCATGTGCATCCACAGGAGTACACCTGCTACGCTAGGCTCATCATTAGTCAAGTGTCACTTGCACTTCAAAGTAGAGCTGCACAAAAAATGAGAGTGAGATTTACAGCATGTCAGCTACTCCACTGAAACTGCCCGTGTCTTTGTTACCCCTCCGGCAACCTCCCTTCGTGCTACGCTGTGAGAGTATTTACGCGAACAGCTGCCACACCGTAAATCTAGACCCTCACCCTCCTAACTTTTTCATGTAGCCATACCCTCAGATTTAGGATCTGTCAGGACAAGGTGCATTTAACAGTATATTAGTCAATAAGCATTCATAACCACCCTAAAACAAAGACAGTGGTGTTTAAAACCCAAGGCTGCACATGCTAACCTTCTCCTGCTGCAGCTATAGTAACTGAAGAGGTTAATCACCGCCAGCTGCTGGCAGAGCTCCTTACACGAGCACTCCCTGGTCTGTCCCTGGCAGACTATGCTACGTTAGCAAAGATGGTTAAAACACAGGGTCCTTCCTAGCCTGCTTTCACCGTAGGGAAATACTGAACGCTGAGACAAGCGGATCAAAAGAGACCCTCACCGACAACTGATCTGTTAGTAATCACCTCCTCCATTCTTACTGTACCTACAGCTTCCCTAACTGGGCGCTGGGGTGGCTACAAGAAAAACTACAAGCACGGCAGAAGCTTAAACTCGTTCATCCTGCCAGTGGCACTGCAGAAGTCGTCTGAACAGGCGTAAAAGCTCTCACTGACAGCCACACGGGCAGAATCCCTAGCGGATCTGGAAACCTGGTTCTGAAGAGGCACTTCTCTGTAATTAAAACCAATGTAAGGAGCACAGATGCTCGGGAGATTTATTTTACACAGTGGCAGTCTACTGCAGTATTGTGCGAAACATCATAGAAAACGAACAGGAACTTCTTGGCAACAGTTTCAAGCTGGGCAAATTCACTTCAGGATGACAAAACCAGGGCATAACCACTCAGCAAAAATAAATACCCCCAGTCATCCCTCCCCCTCCTCCCCCCACCAAGGACTGAGTCATACACTGCTACTATCTCTTGCTTCCGTTTTTTACTTTATTTTATTTCTGTCTCTCATGAAGAAATGTAAATCTTCTTGTCTGCTATTACATTGGAGCGATATATAACAGCTAACGAGATGGCCCATAGGCAAGAACAGTAGAGAGTAGATAAACATCCTTTTTGCTCTTCTTCTTAAACACCATTTTTAACTCACCCATACCTAATTCCATGAGATCATCTCCATGCAGCAAAGTTGGGTTGAATTCTGGTAACGTGAGTGTTATTAAAAAGGTCCACTTGAGCAACGAAACAGGTTTGGGACTGAATGGAAAAGCATGTTACAAATGAGGCCAGGGCGGTGATTGTAGAGAGTTGAACCAGCCTCCTAGGGAAAATATCCTAATCAAAAATGTACACGTGCATTTGAAATGTAGCGAAGCACGGATTAACACTGCAGGGCTCTAATTTAATTTTGTCTGTGGGGGAGACCTTCCCTGCAGCACTCTTTCAATTGGGATGGTATCAAAATTGGGGAGGAAGAGTCAAATTTGCAGAGGAGGAAGAGTTTTATTTCTGTTTCTTTTGGCTACCAATCTAATTAATGGCAACAGTTAATTGGATTGGTAGCCGAAAGGAACCAAAATAAAATCCCCAATTCTAAACTTCTGCAACTGATTCGTATTTCTTTCTTCTCTCTTCCATTCGGGGCTCTGTGTAAGAGTATGTACATTCCTTATTTTCAGTTGTCTCTACTCACCTTGTGTGTTGACATCCTTCGTTCCATTTACGTTCCCTCTACTGAATCCCCAGTTTCCTAATGCAGCTCCATTTGCTTTGAATTTGAACAAACATTTTGGCCTTAGTCTGTATTTTGAATGTCTGCCACATTCTGATGAAATCCAAATTTTATCAGAAAATTATAAATATATTTAACCCTTTGTTTTGACAAACAGAAATGCCATGTTCCCATGTATGCTACATTTACAGGAAATAAATAGGCTCCATCTTTTGCTATTAAATATGACTAAGGCTTATTTTTTTAAAGAACATTTACTAATGTCCTAACATCCATATATTTTATAATGTATTTTTATCACACAGCTTCTTGTCAACTTATCACCTTTGCTTAATTTCTGTGAATGGCCAAAGACAGCCATATACATACCTTTTCTTTTGGTTTAATTAAAACAGACAAATGTCTTAACACCAAAGGTCCATCTAGACTGTAAGTGAAGTTAACATTTTCAAATGCTATCATTCCTTGGCTTGGCCATTCAGGTGGTGGATGCTTGTTGGTCTCCCAAGGAGCTTCTTTTTCAAGTTCTGTGTATTCCATTACTCTTTCTACTGATATCATCTAAGGGGAGGAAGGAAGACATATATACATAAATTTCAGCTTATTGCATATATTGCAAATATTGTCTGCATGTACATGTGTGTGTGTGTAATTTTACTATAAAGATTCAATGCAAATTATTCCAGAGTTTTTCTTTTAAGCACAGATAAGAGTACGTGGTACCATCCTATGCTTACTTTATACAACTGAAAAAGTGGAAAGAATGTATCTCATGTCCTACTACAGACCCAGATCTATCATGATACATAAATCCATACATAAGCATTCATTTCTAATCAGTGGGATTAATTACAAATCTAAGTGTGTGTATAAGTATTAAGAAATTCAAGCTATGAGAGTTGTGTATCAGTCTTGGCTAAGATGACACCATTTCATTGTGTGCTGGGAAGACAAAGCTAGAAATGAAACTGCCATATGAGCTACAGGCAGACCTAAAATTATTATTAATTTTATCTGTTATTAAGCATGGCTTTGTAACTTTTACAAAAGGACTACATGTATTTCCTAGACTATGGTCAGCAAATCATAATTACAAGTAACCTCCAGCTGTCAACACAACACAAAAAACCCCCAGGTTTATGCTCAGTATGTTCTTTTATAGTCTTTTTTTCTTATATATTAACTTAAAAAAGTAAATAGGCAAACTAGAACATGCTAGTAAATATTGTAAATTGGTGGAAGGTATTTTATTTTATATATTTTGGAAAACACACAATCCTCTCCCCTGATTATAAACAAATACTTTCAAATATTTGTTAACTTACAACAAATTAAGAAGATATAAGCCTTTACAATGAATTAACCCTAAAAAATGCCATGAGGGATATAAATCAAATTTTAAAATGCAATAACAAATAAATTATTAAAAATCCCAAATCTAAAAAAATCATTTAAACAAATCTTACTTACAGAGAAGGATTAATTTCTTGTAATTTTAGTGAGTTGCAATGCAATTGTCTACACTGTAACTAGACAGTCTCCTTTCTGCTGTAAAGGGAGATTATAAAGCCTCCTTTACTATGCACGGAGAGGGACAGTCACTGGGCACAATTCATCTCAATAAATATTCAAAATCAGTCAGACAAATTATACCCTAGAAGAGGCTACTTTTCTTTATGGACTGTAAGTGGTGCCTTAATCGCTTGCTAACGTATTAATGTCCTAAGTTAATTAAGAAGAATCCCATCCTTAAGGCCTCATGTCACAACCACGAAAAGGAACCAAGAGGTGAAAAGGAAGAAATAAACGTTACCAGGTTTTCAACTTCAGCACTTTGTCTAACACCCCACTGGAATGTTCCCATGAGGGTGATTGCATAGGACAGTGCCAAACCAACCTGCCCCGCATTCAAAGCTGCAGAACAAAGGAAAAAGAGAATCAAATAAGTACACTGGTAATTACACAAAATTCTAGTTAACTTCCCTTTTATGAGGTTACTTACATGATGGAAGCATCACAGCCAGAATTTTGTTTGGTTACACTGTACTTGCCATCTGTGCAATGAGTAGCTCCAGGCAGAACAGCTACTTGCTGCATTTTTTTTTTTTTGAAGGTTTTGGAAATTGTCTGTGTATTTGAAAAGATAACCCCAATTCTCCTTGGCCTGGCATTTTATCTAAAACCTGAGGTTCAGTCTCAAGACTTGTTAGGGTCATCCCTATCTGGCTGAGCATTAGTAACTTTTCACCTTTTTCTAAGGGAATTAGATCAGCCCCTAAACCTAAGCAAAAAATGAGCGTAAAATGATTTCAAAATAAGTTATGAACATTTACATCAACTTTGTACTCTTTTAAGTGATCAGATAAATTAACAGGACAGAATACTTCTTCCCCTGTTTATATAAGCACTTATTGTGTTCAGTGGGTCTACTCTCACAAAATAAATGAATTCTGTCTGCCCCAGTATTAAGCATGATTGTCCTCTGGCTTACTTGAACTTTATCCTAGCATAGCTCTATTGACTTCAAGAGAGCTACTCCTTATCCAGAGGCGAGGAAAGATTCAGGACTATTGTTTTGACTTGTCTTTTTGCATTCTAATAACATCAAACCTAGCTCAAAATTTTCAGTGTTGAGCAGCACAGAGTGTTCAAATTTTAAAACACACATGCATATACAGAACTTATCCAAAGGAAAAAGAAAAGAAACAAAACCAGCAAATTAGCACTAATTTTCATGTCCAAGATAATTACTTCTTCCTTCATATTTTAGATGACTATCTCATTCTAGTACATCTAACCCAATTACATCCTGGATGATGCATACACTAATGACAGTTCATGAGTGACAGTGAACATAAAATGTATTATTACAAGGCGATTTTCTTTCTGGAACTGGCCTATCCTGCTGATCCAAGATATTAGAAGAGTATCCCTAGGAATTTTAGCTTGCCTTTTGGCCTACTGTGCCATGTATAGAAAGGAAAAAAGTTGTTAAGAAGCAGCTCTGTGGGTGTTTCAGTATGAAAAGCAAAGCCCTGTAGGCCCAAAAAAGAAAGGCAAAGGTGGGGAAGAAGAAAAAGATTTATTTGTTGTTATTGCTCTGAAAGCCAGAATCTCAGAAGTGAAGACTACAGATCTGCAAGTTTGTTTGCACATTTGGAGATGATGGTAGATGCACGCCTAAGCCCGGAAGATGTCTGAATTGCCTCCAGTATTTTCAGGAAAGCAGATACAGCCCCAATGCCCTAGACTGAGGAAGAGATCGTGATCTAGAAAGAAACATTTAACTTAATTACAGTCCTTAAACAATTAGAAACAGCAAACTATGAAAAAGAATTAGACATTACTATACATGGTAATTACCGGGTGAACTTTTTCTAACATCTGTACTTACTCTTGGCGAGAAGCAGGGAACCAAAAGCAACCACTATAACAAAAATGGCACAGATGGCATCCAGACGCACAGCAAACCACCTCGAGGTTGTCAAAAATAGAAACCAGGCCTCTAAAGTGTATTTTACAAAGACATAACAACAGTGGATTATTAGAAAACTAAGCTGTATAATTATTACTAAATTAATTCATGTTGGTATTATAAGCTGTTAAAAAAAAAACAACCAAACATTGCCATCTTCAAATGCATGTCTGTATGGACTGATGACGATCAGAATATTGTCCAGTTTTCCTGAAATGGCCTAACCTAGTTTTCACACTAGTAGCAACCACAGCTAGTATAACAAACAGCAAAAGAAGAAAAAGAAACAGTCAAGGCCTGAAGCATCGTCCATTTATTTTAAACGGAAGCCTTTTTTTAACTCTAGTGGACTTGGGAGTCTTGTACAGAGAGCAGAAGTACAACTACATTTGCTGTAGCTGGACTACCGTCTACAGGCTTTTAGCTAGAACATATCACAACACAACCATCAGAGCCAAGTCTTTAGAAGACAGCTGCAGCTGGTTAAGCTCCCATAAGAGCTACTTAACACAGCCAGTGGAGCTACAGACCTATTCAATTGACTAAAAGCACATATCTACTTTTGGAGAAGCTCACAGGTGGACATCTCCACTGGGCACTCACATCCAAGTGTCCACAATTTGGTGCTAAATTCCATCCCAGACAGATATGCTACAGTACAAGATACAGGAGACAGCAGGAAAAGACATTGCAATACAGAAGGCAAAGTGTTTGAATTCAAGGCCAAAACCAGAAGTCAAGTAGCCATAACAAAATACGGCATTATTTATTGCTTAGGCTGCAGTCAGATGAATTGTTCCAGCTGCTAACAAGTCACAGCAGAAGGTTACCATTCCAACCCTTTCTGCATTGCTTGTCATTACTACACGTCAAAGATCAGTGCTGTTTCAACCATTTCACTGTTCCTTAGCCCAGTGCTGGGAAAGATTCAAACTAAAAAAAAAAAAAAAAAAAAAAAAAAATCCTCCCTTTTATAAAAAAAGGGAGGCGATAAGTCTGGTTTTAAGCCAGATCATTTTGGATAGCCAGATTACAGAGTGATCAAATCAACAATTCAGCCAACAGAACTCCATG